GGGCTGGGGGGGGGGGGGGGCGTCGGGACCGGCCTCATGCACTGCACCAGGTATGGCCCCGCCGGAGCTCACGTCCTCCTGCTCTGCCTCTACCGCCGGTGGGGGCGTCCCGCCTCGCCTCGCTGCCGTTTGGCTTCTCCCGGTGCGGGTCGTGGCGTGGCGTTACCGGGGAGGGGGGGGATGCGGTACCTTCCAGGCTTGGCTGTTGGTGGCTCGCCGGGGGCGGTGATGGGGTGGTCGCCCCTTCGGGCCTGCTGCCTCCTTCTCGGGCTGGCCGGCGCACTCGGTTCGTGGGAGAGCAGGAGGGACGGGGGGTAGCCGTCGGGGGGGAGAGGGAATCGGATCGGCCGGGCCGCCGGTAAGTGCCTCCGGGGCTGCCCTCGGAACGGCTCGGCCTTTCCTGAAGCAGAGAGGAGGAGAAGGAGGAAGAAGAGAGCAGAAAAGCCGAGTGCTGTTTCATCCCGCAGTGTGTGTCACCTCTAAAAACCTGTGGCTTCAGGAGGTGCTGCCTGCCCAGCCCTCTGCAGGGGGTCACCCGCTCCCAAACGGCGCTGGCAGCAGGGTGCAGGCGGTGGAAGGGGGTCTGATCAGCGCAGGTATAAATAATTCCTTTGCTCTGACTTCCTTCTTCATAGAAATAGAGGAGGGGAGTGTGAGCGGAGAGACATCCTCGCCAGGAGAGGGTAGAGCTGTGGGAAGATGTCCGGAGGCAGAATCTAGTCTGTCTGCCTTTTGAGAGGAGGGGGAAAGGAATCAGCCCCTGTCCCCGTGCAGGGCTGCCTGCCTTCACCCCCGGCTTCCCAGAGCCCCCTTTTCTGCGCTCAAAAGTGAGCTCTCAAACGTATTTCCCTGCTGCCACCTTCAAAGCAGCTGAAATTCAACACAGCCAAAAGGGAAACCTTCCTCTGTTGGCTGTAAGTTGGGCATCAGCAGCATCAAGAGCAGGAGGAGATGTCTGGGGTATCAAATAAGCTAAAAAAAGCAGTTTGTAAAAGCATGCAGCTCAGCCTACTAGTAGGTATGAAAAGCTCTTACTATATATCTCAGCTTAGGAAAAAAGCTCCAAGTAATACAAGTCAGGCTGGATATTTTTTGCCTCTTCATTCTAAAAATGGTGAATAACCAAGGCTTACTAAGAAACCTGACCTCTCAGCATTATGGGAATTCAGCTGAATAAATTTCCCTAGGAAAAGATGCAATGCGGGTGAAACTGGCCCGAGTAAGAGAGAAACGTTGGAGGCTGCATTAATCTAAAGGAGGAAATGACCTATATAAAGTGCGTGTGAATAAAAAAAAAAGACAAAAAACGACTTGGCAAAACCAGGCAGGGATGAGCAGAACGGTGTTAGCAGGCAGGTGGGTCTGCTGTCTGTCTGTCTGTCTTGTATGGATAGCTGCCCTTGAGTGGGAAGGAGGCAATGCAGGAGTTGGCTGGTGGGCATGCTGGGAAGCGAGCCCTGGCACAAATGTGTGGAGTAAAGAGGTGTCCTGGCTGAATGGGTGCTGTGAGAGCCCTCTCAGAGCCACTCCGTCGGGCTGGCAGGGTGGGGAGTTAAAGCACTGAGTTGGAGAACGTAGCTCTTGCTTTTTCTTGGCACGGGGATGGCGGTCAAGCACTGGAGCTGGCTGTAGGTGGCTTTGGCAGCAGGAGCTCTGCTGCGTCACGTGGCTGCTGCTACTGCCGCTGGCTCGTCCCGCTCTGCGGGGTGGGAGCAGCTTTGGAGCCTGGTCTGCAGCCAAACAAGGAATTTTTATTAAGGGAATACTCTGCGTTTAAGGTCAGCTGCAACGCAGTTGGCTTAAGGCGGATGTGTGTGATAAATCTGTCCAGCAGTTTATCTAGAGCCCAGGCCAGAGAGATTCTGCCAAAAGCCTCCAGCCTAACCTCATTGTAAGGGACAGGAGGGATAGGTGCGACGGTCTGGGAGCTGCCTGGCTGCAGAGGCAATTCCAGGGCTTCATCTGGCAAGGTGCTGTGTGAGAGCTGCCCTAAAGTGGGTGCACAGAGAGGGATGGTGCTGCTTCCCTGGAGGAATGGGCTGGAGGCGAGGAGGCTGTGGTGGAAGGGCACACAGCCTGCACTTTCCAGGGGAAGGACTTGTTTCCAAAGACTTGGTCAACCTTGAGTAGGTGAGTTGGGTTTGGCAGAGCCCTGTGGCTATATGGATGCTTCCTAGGGGCTCAGCGCAAGCACTGTGGAGGTTTGAGGCTGGAACTCTGTGCTGGAGGTGCAATCTGCTGGGCCATCTGAGCTGGCATCTGCTTTAAAGTGCAGTAGTGGGAGGAAAGCAGCTCCTCTGTAGGTGTAGGGCAATGTCAGCTGAGTCTCTTCCCTGTATCAGACTGTTGTTATCCTTATTATACCACTTGCAGACACTTTAGGGGGAGCAGTTCTGAGAGACAGCCATGAGTAAAGTACACAGCTCAACCAAACAAGTGCTTTTTAGCCTCTAAAAATACTGGCTATTTGGGGTTTTAGGAAAGGTGAGGTCAGTTGTGTACAGTAGCTTGTAACAAACTGAGCTCCTGCCCCTGCAGAAGTGCCTGATGCCCTGGGGAGAGTCTCTCCTGGAAGGAGGAGAGCACGACAGGAGCACTGCTTTATGTAGCTTTGAAAACTGTAGGTTTTGTGAACACCAGCAGGACTGAGGCATGAGCTTTGCTTTGGGTGAGAAATGCTCTGGAGCCTGCTAGTGCTAGCCTAGTAGGACAGTGCTTGTGTGTGCCTTCAAATGGTGACTCTGTCCCTGCAGAAGTTAGAAGAGATCGTGTTCAAGGGCACAACAGGGTCTGGTCCTGCCACTTCTGCTGTAGCATGTTTCTCACCTTGTCTGTAAATCACACCGTGCAAGTACCTGCCTTTAATTAAGCTTGAGGGACTTGTGGGGTGGATGGAAGCAAGTTTCTTTGGGATGGCTGGAGGGGAAAGTGGTGTAGCGTTTATCTGACAAAAGTCATATTAAAATGCTTTTCTAATATCAACTTGCCCTTCTTCTTATCTTCCAGAGTATTAGACTATTTTCCTCACAAACAAGCAATGGCTGTGGATGTGGCAATGCAGCTGTACCTGTGCTCTTCACCCTTGCGAAGGGAGAAGTGTGCCTGCAAAATTGCTCCGAAGCCAAGCAAGCCCTTGCGGCCCTGCATCCAGCTGAGTACCAAGACGGTGCTGAACGGGCCAGAAGAGGCAGCAAACTCCTTCACACACAACAAAGTGAAGAAGAGGGTGTCATTCGCAGACAGCAGAGGCTTTGCTCTGACGATGGTGAAGGTGTTCTCCGAGTTTGACGATCCGCTAGATATTCCTTTCAACATCACCGAGCTGATAGATAACATTGTGGGCCTCACAACAGTGGAGAGGGACAGCTTCGTCCTGGATTTTGTTCAGCCCTCTGCGGACTACCTGGACTTCAGAAACCGCCTCCAGGCAGACTGTGTCTGCCTTGAAAACTGCGTGCTAAAGGAGCGATCCATTGTGGGAACAGTGAAGGTGAGGAATCTCGCTTTTGAAAAGACTGTGAAAATCAGGATGACGTTTGACACCTGGAAAAACTTTGTAGATTACCCATGCCAGTATGTCAAGGATACCTATGGAGGGTCAGATCGGGACACGTTTTCCTTTGACATCAGCTTGCCCGAGGGAATTCAGTCCCACGAAAGAGTCGAGTTTGCCATCTCCTTTGAGTGCAACGGGAAGGTGTACTGGGACAGCAACAGGGGCACAAATTACAGGATCATACGGTCAGAACTGAAGTCTGCCCAGGAAGCCATCTGCCCCCCGCGGGGCCCTGACTTTGGCAGTGCCTTTGACCAGTTTGGGAGCCCCCGGTGCTCCTATGGCCTCTTTCCCGAGTGGCCCAGCTATTCGGGCTATGAGAAGCTAGGGCCTTACTATTGACCCAAGGACAAAGTCCTGATTGACTAACTGTTGCTGGCCTGGACACAGGCCTGGGAGCTGGTCTGACCATGAGGTGTATGGAAAGGTGGAAGAAGTATGTCTCCATGTAGCTCTGCGTAAGCCTCCCAGCACAACCAGATGCGCCGTGCTCTGCTGGCAGTGGGCTTATAGTCAGGGAAGCATCTCTGGCATAAAGGGCTGCCTTCCCTGCCTCAACTTGGATAACTGGCTCTCCAGATGCTCAAAGGACCAGGAGCTGTGTTGCTCGTGTGTCTCTTCAGTGCTGCTACTCCTTCCTCTTCTGTAAAGCTGCTAGTCTCCAGGGAAATGCTACAGTGCTTATATCGTCTGTCCAAGCTGTGTAGTGGTGGCTGATTTGTATTGCTTGCCTAGTGTAAAAAGGCTTTTTCAAAATGTGTTCTAGTATTAATATTTAGTGGACTGTCCTGCAGCTGCAGGGTTCTCCTTGCAAAGCTGGCCCGTTGAGAAATGGAGTGGTTGGCTTGCAGGGGATGGAGTCCTCTCCATGCACGCACCCTTGTAGTGTGAAGTCCTTCCTACTGGAGGCAGAAAGGGTGTTTTGGAAATGAAAATGCAACTGTGATGACAGCCAGCCATATTAGGAGACATATGTGCCTGTGGGAGAGGATCTGATATGCTTAGTCATGGGTTGTTTTATCAGCTGATCTTGAAAAAACTCTGATTATACTCTTGATGTTACCAAAAATAGAGATTAGCTGTGTGGTGCTTGTAACACAGCCGTGGGTTGACAGCCTTGACTGCCTTCTCCAAAGCCTTCCTGTTTCTTTGATCACTTGTGATTAAAGATGCTTTTTTCCCCTGTGATGGACATCTGAAGTCAGCTGTTGGCTGTGCTGGGCCCTGAAAATGCAGTTCTTCCTCCTGTGGACTGTAAAACGGGGTTTTGTCCAGCTGGGCCCTGAGTCCTGTGCAGATGGCTGTGCTCAGATGTTACAGGAGTCAAATGCAAATGGGCCACTCAGCTACTTTTTGCTGTGTCCCGTTATAGGAAGACGACTGTTTACCTACTGTGGTGGAAGTGCCTTGACTGAGAAAGGTGGTGTGTGTGATCCCAGGAATGCTTTGGGATAAACAGGCTTTGGAAGTGACGTTGCTTTTTAAAAAAAGGATCTCCTAATGTTTTGTTACTCTGTGCCATGGACTGCTGCACATGGGAGGATGCTGTGGCTGTACTGGATGAACATGAACATGCTGGGCTTCCATAGCTGTTGTAGCTGTAGCTGCCACTGCAGTTTGTAAATGCCCAAGCTTTGTGTCTCTTGGCTCTAAGCTGCTCACCTTACCTGTGCCAAGAACTAGCTGTGAGGAGCGTGAGATAGGGGGAGGCTTATCCTGAAGTCACCCCTGGATGTTAAACAAATCACTGATGTGAACCATCCCTATCTTCAAAGAGGTGGCTTGTCCTCTGGGCCTGCTCTGAGGTGAGGTGGCCAGCTCGTGCAGTGCCAAAAAGCCTCACAAAGCTTCTTGCATGCTAGTTGAGCAGAATAACTTAATCCCTTGACTCAAAGGCAGGGTGCTGAATAGTTTGTAGAAATAGAGGTCAAGGGAATCTTACTTTTTGTAGTGCATAAGCTTTATGTAATTTTTTGGGTGCCTATAATAGCCTATGGATGGGCTGGAGAGAAGCAATGGGCTAGACTACTTAACTTTTTAAACCTAGCTTTTAATTCTGGAGACTACTGTACAAAATACTTACAAGCTGTTTTACCCTAACCTAGAAGGGATACTATGGTCACTGTTGGATGCTGAAAGGGACAAGAAGAGCTTGCAGGAAGAATTGCTGGCCTTCAACTGCTGCTTTTTTTTTTTTTTTTTTCCCCCAAAACCCAACATCAATGCACATCATCACTGTGCTTGATCACTTAGTCCAGGTGGTAAGTCTACTTGCTGGCCCAGAGCTCATCAGGCTTGGTTCCTCTGTTCAAGCAGCTTCTCAAGTCAGCCCTTATAACCTGCATCTGGTCTCTCTTGAAGGGACTGTTGCCTAGCTTGGCTTGAACCTGCTTTTAAACTTAAAGCAAGTCTGAGCAACACTCTTTTTTTTTTTTTTTTTTTTTTTTTTGATTTAGTGTATGGTGTTTAATGCTGTAAGACACTGACTGTAGAAAAGTCATGTTCTCCTGGCATGCTGCCATGCCTATGGAGAGCTGTTTGTGGGCTGAAACAAGGCATGTGTGTCTGGGGTGCTGTGGATGGTGGTATCTCCTTATGGGCCTGTTCATTTTCAGGCTGTGGATGGGGCGTGCTTAGGGAGAAACATGGAAGATAAGCTAGAAGAGCAATGCCATAAGTAAAGGCCCGGCTGGGAACTGACTATTTGACCAATAGTGGTTTAAAAATACTACTTGTGGCCTTTCCCCTTTTCCCTTTTTCCATTGCCAATGTGAACATAGAAGTGAGGGGTTGCTGTCCTCACTCTATGCCTGAAAGTGCCTTGTGGGGTGTTTTGCATGTTTGTTTTTAAAAGATATTTTTGTACACAACATTCAAATGGAAAATGCACTTTATAATTGCCATGTAATGACTCTTTTAAAACTATGGTTCTGTTTTTATCTGATTGTTAAAATAAAGGTGGAACAAAATGTTGGCTGTGTATCTTGCCAGCATCTTATTTAAACACCCATGGGGCTCGGGTGGTGATTTGGACATGGGACCAGCTTCCTGCAAGTGGCCATTGGCAGGGAGGAGCACACGTCCACAGTGGACTCTGCTGCCTGGAACGGGAAAGAGCTGCCTATTCCTGCTGCCTTCCTGTCAACAAATGCTTCCAGAGCATTGGAAGCAGCGGGAAGGAGGAGAGGAGCGAGGCCCTTGTCTCCCTGCTCTGAAGCTTCTCCACTAACCATTGTGTTCCTGAACTACTCTTGACTTGTTCCCTGTTTGCAGTGCCAAGAACAGCCTTTTCAGGTTTTTCTGCATTTATTTCAGGTCAGTCTCAGTCCTTCCCCTCCCCGGCTGGATCTGGGATCAATGCTGGCTGACTCTGCCTGGGTACTGGGGTGGGATGGGTGCTAGGAGAGGTGTTGCACTAGGAAGGTCAGGCTCTGTTCCAATACCAGGCTCAAGTGAAATTTAGACGCTTCTTCACCTTAAACTAGTTGTTCCTGTTGCTATTGCAATAAAAAGCACTGGCAGGAAATGTGCCCCTTCACAGGAAGGGAACGACTCTGGTGTAAATGCCAGCCAGGGCTAGTTTTAGGATTTGACCTGGCTCTGATCGCCAGGGTGATGCCCTGAAGGTGTTGCATTTCAAACCATTGACTTTACTGAACTGGGTGGCTTTTGCCACTTACAGATAAGGTAAGAAGGGAAGATGGGGGGAGAAGGAGAAGGGGAAAAAGCCCAGACAGTCTTGCTGTGAGCTGGCATGAGGGGCTCTGCCAGCAGCACTGCCCACCTTGCTAGACAGCCCTGCAGAGAGTGAACTTAGCCCTTGCTCTGCACAGGAATGAAACCCAGCACCTTCTGACTGGGGCTATTTCTGACTGGCTATTTCCGAGTCTCTCGCTTTTGTAAGATGAACTATCTTCCCGGGATGGTTTGCTTTCTGCAGCAGCTGGGTAAAGTAAAGCTTTTGGTTTCTCAGGTTCCTCCCCCAGCCTTTGCATCACAAAGCCAAGCCATGCTGACACAGTGGGGTGCGAGCTCTTCCATGAATTATTTTTTTTACTACTGTTCTTTTAATCAAACACCCAACACAGATCTCTTTTAATGGGCCATCCGATTGTTTCTCTGGTTGCGGGGGAGGTGGGGGGAACTAAATATTTCTTAAAACTATTTGTGCCCCTGCCCCAGCACGTCCGCAGGTGGTTTGGCCAGGGCTGCTTTCACATCTGAGCACTGGCCCAAGGTCACGAGTAAGACGACTGCAGCCAGCCACTTCCTCTTAACAGTTCTGTGGCTGAAAACCCTGTGTGACGACAGTTTCTGTTCGAGAGATAAGGAAGTCCAAGCCCAGCCTGCTGACATCCAGGGCAGCTAAGGAAACCTGTGAGCGTTCGAAGGGCTGAGAGAGCTCTTGGGTTTCTCTCCTAATGCCCGGGTGTTACTTGCTAGAGGATACAGACACTGCAATTAGACATTGCAATTACTGCGTTTATAAAGCCCTTAGTGGCAGATGTGATTGTGCACTTGCTGTTTAATATACAAAGATTTCTTAGAGTGCTCCTGGCATCCTGCCCCTAGCCTTTGCTCTGAGGTTCCCAAACCTCTGTATCCTGGAGGTTTTCAGTGCCATCTCTTTGCAGAGATAATTAAGCTGGGATGTTGTGTTGATCTTGGATGAGGTGTTTGTTCCTAAGCCTGTGCTCCATGGACAGCTCTGTAAAGGAGAGGGAGGCAGGTGTTCCCCTCGTCCATATCCAACTCCCTTTGCCAAGAGCAATCTCCCACTGGCCCAGGGATGCTGTCCTACAGGGGAGCAGCTCTGCTGAACCACTGCCACCACAGCAGCCTCATCTAGAGCACATCAGGTTGCAAGTCCTAGATACAGTGACCAAAGCAGGATGTGGCTGCTCTGTACCTGCATACTGGCAGAACAGGATCAAAACGGTTTAATAACTTTGTTTAAAGTAGATCTAAGCACTCCAGGAAGAGCCCAGGTGGCAGTTTGCTGCTCTCTTCCCATTCTCATGCTTGCTAAGAGGGTCCTTGCTGGGGAATATGGGCTGCCAGAGTTGTCCCCAGCCTTGTCCAGCTTCCAGAGCAGGGCTGAGAAAGTTCACTCTTTGATGCTGCTCACGTATTGAAGAAAGTCCTGGAATTCAGGTTTCAGCATATGCTTAGCTCATGGCCCTGCTTAATCAGAAAGTGAGGGTCTGTTGCCAGCTGAGCACCAGACAACAGCAGGAGCAGAGCTACAGCTGAGACACATGAGTCTGACAGGGGGGAGATGATGGGCAAAAAATGTAGGAAATCCAAAAGAGCCTGACTGCTTTCAAACCCAACGAGGAGGGTTCAGCCTGCTGTCTGTCTGTGTCTGTACAGATGATGTATGAGCACCCCGTGCTCTTGCTTTAGATGTTTCCTGGGCCAGACTCAGCACTGGGGGTGCTCTGGTGACAAACTGCCCACAGTGGGGTAAGATGCAGAGGGTAGGAAAAAGTCCTCTGCAAAACCATGGGAGTGTAAATGCATCCAGATAGTACTTTGCTGCTGGAAAAAAAAAAAATTATTTGGTGTTAAATGTAGCTCTTACAGGACCTCAAAGCGGAGGGTGACCCGTGGAAGATGTGTTTGCCTTGCTAACAGAGGGCAGCAGGAGTGTAGGAGGGGAGGAAGACAGGAGCACATCATTTCCCAACAGCAGTCAGCATTTCTTCTTCAGCTTCCCCTCCACAAACCGTCAGCAAATGAGCCTCACTTAAGATACTGGGTCTTTGGGGGCACGTCTCTTGTCCACAAGGCAAGGGATAAACGTTGCTTCCCTTTTGACACGTACTGTGGGGCTTCGAGTTGCTCTGCAGCAGGGCATTGCCCTTTTTTCTTCACTCTTACGCACCGTGACGCTGTTTCCTCCACTGCCAGCGTAACCATCACCGAACTCAAGCTTGGGCTGGGGTTTCACAACATCTTCCGCAAGCGTGTGCGTGGTCTGGGGGCAGGAAGGGCACTTGTATGCAGGGGGAGGTGGCCGTGCTGAGGACACGGCTCTTGGCAGCACCCAGGAACAGCACAGAGCTTTGCCACGGAGCCAGCAGCATGGGGCTGGGTTGGGATGCTCCCAAACTCCCCTGCTTTTTCCACAGACTTACTCCTACTGGGCAGTTCTGCTGGCTCTAAAGTATCGCAATAAAAAGTATTTACGTCCCTGTCTCTTTTTAATGGAGCTGAGCTTCAAACCAGCTGCTCTGGCCCAGACAGGTTCTGCTGCGGCAGCCAGAGAAGCTGCCCAGCCTGTCTTTATCCTCCCCCTTGGAGGGGTACTGTGCCAGACAGTTAGCCGTCTTTAAAGACGTGTCAATGACATTTACACAAGGCTTAAAAAAAGAAAAACGGTGTCTTTGTTGAAAAATAATTGCAGCTGGCTTGTTCCTTCGGTATGGGTAAGTCAGAGCAGCCACCAAGTTAAGTACTTTGGCTCCTGGGACAAGGATATGGGCAAGCCCTTCCAGCCGAGGCATTAGTCACAGCTCTCCCCTCTGCTCCAATGCTGCTGTGTAGTCCTGGGGGGAGGGAAGACTCAAACTTCATAACCCAGGAGAAGTACGCTCAAAAGAGCATAAGAAGAGGGTTCAGGATACCTCCATAAATGCTTTCATAGCTTCCAGCTATTTCTGGTATGGGAGTCTTCTTGAGACCATGGTGATGTCTTTATATTTAATTAATCCTAGACAGGTTCAAGTGGGAAGAGATCTCTAGGTATCTGCTCCAAGCAGGACCACTCACACCGCTAGGTGAGGTCACTCAAGGCCTCATCCATGTGGATGCTGATGACCTCAGTGATGGAGATGTCACCACATCCATGTGCCCTGTCCCAGGGCTGCACTGCTCTCCTGGGGAAAAGATACGGTCCTCAGGAATGAAAGGAGCTCTGAGCAATGTTGCAATTGTTGAGGTCAATTTGAGCAAACCAGACCCCAGTTTCCTTCCCAGCACTCAATAGTCAGAAATAGGGAACTAATGATATCCTGCACCCACTTTCCATCTTTATGGTCCCTGCCAGAACAAAAATGGAGCATTATCAGCAGGAGTGTAATTCCTCAGTGTTCGTGTGGTGACACTCCAGCACTATGGAGACAGGCACTTTTATAGGAAGAAATATAATAGTCTTCTCCAGGCCCACTCATGGTTTTATGACCATTCCCCTTTCACACAGTGTTCCCCTGGACACCTGGCAGGTGTTGCTTCTCCTGCATTTCCCTACTTGCTGTGATTTATTGGCATCTGGGTGCTCATCAGAAATGCAGAGTGTTTCTTCATCTACGAGTTCATCTGAATGTGTTCTTGATGGCGTTGCAAGCCAGGGTTAAGGGCAGCTATAGGTGATGTGGCAACAAAGACCATGAGTGGCACCTTCCACCCCTCATTCAACAGCACACTTGGTCACTGGGATAGATGTTGGAACTGGTCTCCCTTTTGGGCTGAGGACTGTCAAAGCCCAGCTTTACTTTCTCCAAGAAGCTGTCTCCAAGCAAATCAACTCACAATAGGAGGCAAACTAAAAATAAATAAATCTATCGAACCCTCCACTCCTCCGTGGTGGCTTCTGCAGGAGAACTTCACTTCAGAGACCAGAACAATTACCACTTGAGTGCTTTATAGCCATGCAAGCAATTATAGCAGACACGCATTAACTTTTTAAGTTGGTGGTCAACAAAATTTCTTAGACAACCAATGAATCTACACACAAATCTATCAGCGCTTCTAAATGCCCTGCAATAACAGCCCAGTACTAGTAAACAGTGAGCCATAAAGCCATCAAGGGATACACTCCCTGGGGGTTAATAGCAGGATGACTGAGCATTTTAGTCATTTTTCCTTTTTTTAGTTTTGGTGTTGCTGCAAGAAAACACAGCTTTTGTTCAGGCAAGCTGTCCTGTGAATGCTATTTCTGCTAATAGGTATCCTGCTTTAGTCAAAAATTC